ATATTACTATACTTAATAATAAGAGGAATAGCAAGTACCTCATGGTCAACATGTGTGCTTACATGGAATTAAAATTAATCTGAGGATATTTTTGTCATTTCTAAGCTTTCACAGCTATTCATTCAATTACATAGCTTAACACGTGGATTCCAAATTTAATGTCTTCTCGGCTAAAACTCGAACAACCGTGGAGAGGTAACGCCGTCTCCAACTAAGAAAAATCAAGAACGTCTGCTCTCTCTGTCATTCCTCTTGTTGTCAAGTTTGCACTTTAGTGTGTTTTCTTCCATCAATCGTATTTTTTGGTAGGTACCTCTTCTGTCATCTCTTTGATTCATCTTTATCTATATTTCTGTTGAGGAGTATCAACGGATTTTGGTCTCTAGGTGTTTGAGAAAATTCTTCAATGAATTACCATTTCTGTTAAATTTTTTATGCATATTTATGTCTTCTCTATTTTTAAAATATTTGTGATTCATCTCTATCTGTATTTCTCTTGAGGAGTAACAATGGTTTTTGTTCTCATTTCGCTGGGGCTAAATTATATAAGAATAGTTGTAAATAATGCTCATGTGATTATCATCTTTCTTACACCAAAGGTTTTGACTGCAAAAGAATAATTATCGTAATTTGTGAACTGATCGATTCTGCAGAAATGCAAAAAGGATGCACATATTTCTTAAAATGTATAATGGCTTCTCTCTGTTTCAAACTTACTCCTTCAATGAAAAGCGTGATAGTACTACATGTGATTTTTTGTTGCCTATTTTACCTTTCTTTCTTAGTGGTAAAAGACTAAAAGGATCAATTTTGGCTAAAAGGTGGAGTCTTTATTGAGATTTCTATTGATTCTTGTAACCTAAATCTGTAGTAATTTTAGAGATTGAAGTTTCCATTATGTAGTCTGCAATTTCTTGGCTGATATTAAGTCATAAAGGGATAACTTGGTAGAAAGGTTGCTTCTTTATTGGGAATACAATTTCTTTTATGGGATTACAATTTGTTATGGCAATTTTCTACCTAAATGCGTAGTAAATCTAGAGGTTGAAATGTCCCTGTGTAACCTTCTTGGATGCATAACAGTTTTATATTGCTGCTATGTATGTATATATATATATATGTATGCACTTGTGTCTGTGTGCGTGTATGTCTGCTTCATCATTTGTTTTCCATTTTTTGTTCTTGTTGTTATTGTTATTGTAGTCTGATTATTCTTCGCGTACGCAAACTGCTATTACCAAAGATCTGAAGCTCATTGTTTCTGAGGTAACAAGTCATTCTTGGTTTATATATTTCGATTCATTTTCTTGAGAGCAATTTCTGACTAAAGCTAACCTTTTCAGTTCTCTTTGTTCGGTTCGTTATCTATTGTGGGTGCTATGGTCGGAGCAATATCTAGTTATAACACCCCGAAAAATTTTGAAATAGTTAAGTGTAAAGTCCGGTAAAATTTAAAAAGAAAGTAATGTTTCATGGTGCCGGACTAGGCTTACGTATTTGAGGGTTGAACAATGCACCGGAAAGTAAAGAAAATATTTTGACGAAAAAGTGTATTTCTGCGGTCCATTATGCGACCGCAGAATCACTCTTTGGACCGCATAATGGCCGCAGAGTGAGGCAGTTAATTGGGTCAGTTAGAAGCAATTATGCGACCGCATAACTGTTATGCGGTGCACTATGCGACCGCAGAAAGTTATGCGGACCGCATAGTGATCACAGACTCAGGCAGATGTTTGGTCATTTTGGACACCAATTATGCGACCGATATGCGGTCCGCATAACCATTATGCAGTCGCATATGCGACCGCAGAACCTGTTCCGGAGCTTCATTTTTGAGTTTTTAAAATCCTACCCTACTTCGTTAAATACACGTTTTGGGCCTTTTTGAGATATAATCGGACATTTTAGAGTGAGAGAGAGTATCCTAGAGTGAGGAGGTGTTCTTCAATAATTGTTCTTCAATTCTTGCTCAAGTTTTGGAAGATTAAGAAGGTAAGCTCACTAAGTCTTCATCCTAAAGGTGAGATTCTACACCCTAAACCCTAATTTCGAAATCATCTGAAAATGAGTAATTAGCAAGATAATTTTTGGGCATGAGAGTTGATTATTTTACATGCATTTGATATCAAGGGGTGTAGGAAAATTGTTAAACTAAGCATGGTAAAGATTGGGTTGTGGGATGATGGAATCCTCCATAAAATGACCTTGAAAACTTGTGCACACCTAATGTTTGATAAAATGCTCAAATGAGCTAGAACCATGATCATTTTCCTAATTTTGATTCAATTTGGTATATTTCTAAAATAGATTGAAGTTGCTAAGAATTCCGGAACGTTTTAGAGTTTAAGGAAGCTCAATTGAGGTATGTTGGCTAAACTCTTCTTTAAGAATTGGAATTCCCAATATCCTTGTAAGTTCCGAGATGTTGATTATAAATAGAGTATTCCGATAAGTTTTGTGACGAAGATATATGTTCAATTCGTGTTACAAATACTCTTATCATATTGCGGTTATACATCCACCCGCATACATTGGGGTGAGGCAGAAAGGCCGCTTGATTAGAGTTATGGTATTGTACGTACACTTCCACCTGCATACATCGGGTGAGGCGGCGGGGCCGCTTTGTGTGAAGATGGTAACAGAGGATCTCATCTTAAATCCTATAAATATTATTTATAGCTTTTAATAAGCTTGCTATGGTTTAAACGGTTACCTATATTATTCTATTACTGCACTGGTTCATCATATTCATCTTGTATTTCTGAATTCTTCAATTAGTGTTTAGTTTTCATACTAGTACTATTCGACGGTACTAACGTCCTTTTTGCCGGGGGCGCTACATCTTTTAAATGGATGCATGTGGTTCCACAGCAGGAGATATTGATCAGTGATAGCAGCACACCTTCTTCCCAGCTGACTTGGTGAGCCCCACTTTATCCCGGGGTCATATATCTTTTGTTCTTTGTATATTCTGTTTGAGGTATATCCGGGGCCTTATTGCCGACATTATCATTGCACTCGTCTTTATCTATAGAGGCTCCGTAGACATAGTGTGGGTTGTATAATGGTGCTGGGGAAGTCAAACTCGTGTGTTGTGCTTAAATTACTATTTTCACTTCAGATTATGAAAAATGTGTTTGGAATTGAGACTTTAAAATAAAGTAACTGATGGTAAGAAATTGGTATTGCAACATGATCACTTTATTGGTTGATTAACGAAAATATATATATTCTCTTTATTTATGAATGAGCTTAGGTAGAAGGAAATCTAATAGGCTTGCTCGACCGGATTCACTCGGTTGAGTACCGATCGCGCTCCTCGATTTTGGGGCGTGACACTAGTGGTCAAATTGCCAAATACATTGGGGGAAAAGGGGTTAGATAATGGCATCACTAGGAATTCTGCTTCCCCTTTTCTTTTGCTTGCCTATTTTGTACAAGTGAATACTCAAGTTTCTTGTCCTATTTGCAGTCTTTAATGATAGCTGTTATACCTAACATCATTGATTGGCTTTCCATCTCATTTGCCAAAGTAAAACAATTCTACTTTGATGCTAATAAAAAAAATTACTACTGGTCATATAATGCATCAAACTTACACTATTGCAATATTTCTGCATCCCTTTAGTTGTCGAGATAGTGTTTGGTAATGGCCACACTTGCAGTTGTCAGATATGGTTCTGGTTCACCAATGCAAAGTGAAAAAATCGAAGAAAGAGTATCAAGGAAGATGACAAGGCTCTGCCCCCCTGTACTGCACTGTTTGGAGACTTGGGTACCTGGGGATATTGTGGAGGTATATAATGACAGCTCTTGAAAAGTTGCCATCGTGCTCAGTATTTTACCACGTCATCGTTATTTAGTGATACTACTTGGTTGCTATCTGAAACTTAGCATTCATATATCAGGCATGAGAGATCGACAAAATTGAAAAGATAGCAAATGGATTTTTATTAGAAAGGTACATATTTTTTTTTATTTTATTATTTTATTTTGACTTTACGGAGAAATTTAAGCTTGTTATAAAAGTTTGTAATAAGTTGGAGTTGCTCTTATCATTTATCTGCTAGGATTATTTTGTATTGCTATCTACGTCAGATCCATTATATTTTGTTTGAGTCCATATATCTTTTTAACTAGGTCTTTTTATGAGAACTGTTTCATTTGTGTATATGAGTTCGGTCTATGTAGCAAAAATGGACTCGATAAGGTATAGTCCATGTAGCTTGAATAATATGGGAAGTGAATTTGACCTTGCTGGTTAAGTGTTCTAGATTATACACATCAAATCAAATTATAAATTATTATTCTAATTGATGGTAGTTTCGGTAGCCTCTATGCAAAGAGGGAACACTTTTGTACGTCTGTTTAGTTGTCCTTACACAGTATTGTATTTGATGTGCTTATAATAATATATAAGCAGGTGAATTTATATTTGATGCATCTGGTGTATCTTTTAATAATTTGTATAAAAAATTCAGAATCTATTTCTTCCTTGCCTTCCCTAATCTCACTATTCTTTTCTTTTGTAGGATTATGATCAAGCTGCAACTTGATGCACATACTAAAGTTCTTGGAGAAATTAATGGTTTAGCCACTGAAGGAAAAAATAGAGGACAAGAGTCTTATTTAATCTCATCAAGATCCCTAAAGAGAATGTCTCCTTATTGCACATCTGGTGTTGATTCACTTTATGGGAATGCTCAGAAATTTCAAGCAATCCAGACAGATAATCGCAGGCAACAAGCTGCTCTGGTGACCTTACATGAATTTCGTTAATTGGTATTGTTAAGTCCAACTCCATTATCGATAAGAGTTTTCACGAAAAATTGATTCCTAAAGTTATGTCATCTTTTAGATCCATATTACCTTGTGTTGTTGGAAAGCTATATTACTTTAACATTATGGCTCATGTAGTAACTCCGTAATCTTCTATTTCTCCTATGAGCAAAAGTTCATTCTTCTAGATATTATCATTGTACATTTATTCGCAATAGCATAACTTTATTCACGTTGGGCCCGGGCTTTTATAT